GATTTACTGTTACAGGCAGGGTCTAATCCATACCTTTACCAATGATCTCCGTCTTTCCCAGTCCATGCTCGTACTGAGGAACGTGCTAGAGTCTGCTAGAGCATTCTGGTGCATTGGTCATTGTCCCATTGTCTTAAACCTCTGAGATTTGTCGGCATGCTTTCCAAAGATTAACAAAATAAGTGTCATGCTAGGCCGCGGTGGCAACACCCAATGCAGGCCTCTCTTTCCAAGTCACCTGAGACTTGAAACCGTTGGGCTCAGGACGGGCGGAGCTGCGCCAGCTGCCGCTGCAAGCCAACCGGTCGCAAAGCCTGCCGCGATGGCCTCGTTCTATTTCGCCCGCTTGGCACCGGATCTGCGCTGCCAAGAACAAGGCCAAAGCACCTGCGAAGCGCTCGGCTGCGCAGACAAGCCCAAGCGGTGAGAGGGCGTGCCTGGCCGTTTACCACACACCACAGTGAGTTCAGGCTTTTAGATCATACTTCCCTGAGTCGTGAAACTTGCAGTGCTTAACTTGAGACACATGTCAATGCCGCCATGGTGTTGGGCTTGTCAGGATTTCCCAAGTTTCTGGTAATCTGCTCTCATCTTTGGAATGGGACTGCTGCTATCGCTCCAACATGTTTGTCATTTGCTGCAGCACACCTCTCATAATTCGAACCTGTCTGACCTCCTTTTTCGCGCGTCAGCCCTTGGCTTAGGCTGCCGGGATTTTACTCGGGGCGATGTTGCCGTCTTGTCCTCGATGCCATGATGGGCCTCTTGCGACTTCCAGCGACCCCCAAGCGACGATTGCAGTTTGGCGCGTCCTTCAACAAAGTCTCTCCGCGCAGCATTGGAGTTGGCCTTAGGCAAGTGCTGTTGAAATCATGAGCCAAGTAGGCCCTGAAGGTCCTTGCGGTTCAGGACTTGAGGCTAGGAATGTTTATGCTACAAAACGACATGCATCCATGCTAGGATACCGAACTGTCAGGCGGCGACGCGTGCAGGGGAACTTCATTCCGGAAGCGCAAGTCATGGTTTAGGGCTAAGTTTAAGTGAGAATTCCTGCGTCTAGGGTCTGAGCTTGGGCAAAGAGTGTGTAGGCTGAGGGCGCTCGACAGCTGAGAGGGAGGCAATTTTTTTTTATCAACATTGGCATTGTTGCAAATTGGGCTTCCCTTTAAGGTACCAGATTCTGGACAGTAACCAGAACAGAACTGTAGAATAATCCCTTGCGCCTTCCACCAAGTATTCTTAAGACCCGGCACTTATAACTGAAGATGAATGCTGATTCCCACCAACGCACAGTCATGGAGCCCTGCGTGGCAGGTCTTTGAGCTGGTAGACGATGCCCCTCGATGTCAATGAGATGACAGTTTTCCACACCAGTCAAAGAAAGGGGACGGAAGCAGTACACGGGAACATTGTTCTTTCAGCTTCTCTTGGTCTCCACTTAGGGGTCTGGTTGCCCAAAGGCTTCTGATCTGCGCATGATCTTGCGGATGTGGACGTTTGAAACTAACCGTCCTCCACTTGCGTGGCACCTGAGAGAGAGCTGCCAGACTTCAGAAGGATTGTCGGCTTCGTCCGGTTCGCTTTGCTTGTCCTGTATTTGCGTCTTACCAAGTGTCACAAGCTGGTAAACTTTCGACTTCTGATTTTGCTGCATGATTGACGCCACAACAGCATAGACCCACGGAAGGCTAGGATTCCTTCTTGTGGATTGCAGCTGATCAGCTGATGCCTACCTTCCAGACTCCCAAGGTCAGAGTCTCCATCTCCACATTCAAGAACGAGCACGGCCACATGTCTACTTTGAGCAACAGTCGGCTTGGGGGGACAAGCCGACATCCAGCAAGTGAGCGCTCTGGGATTAGATCTAAACCTAAAGTCTCAGGGCTCGGTGCGAAAGCATTCTTAGCATGCCACTTGCTGGAATCGTAGTCTTACAGCTCTGCCTTCCAGCTTTTCGAGCAAGGCAGCAGATGGAAGTAGCGCCTCCTTCGTCCGATAAGCTTCCCATGGATGTCTCTGTGACGGAAGAAGTTGGATCCACATGAGGTGTTGACATTCGAAAGTTCTACACCGAGAAGGTGGGAGCTGCAATCTGAAGCCCAGGATCCTTTGCTACTACTGGTAGTTTGTTGCTCGCCTTGCCACGAATCCCATGAGATCAAACGGTTGCGAAGCTGCGCCAGGTCACAGGGGAGCTCCGGCCAACACCCAAGGCCATGAAGATGCAGCGTACTTTATACTGCCCTCGCCGATAAATCGGGCAGGCGAACCTTTCCATCAATGCAGCCATCATTCTTGCGGATGCATAGCATGTGCGTGAGTCAAGCAGAACCATTGCCCCGCACAGACAACCGCATCTGCCTGGCGCCATGTAGTCCCGACTTGCCGTCTGTGCTTGCTTGGTCGGCTCGGTTGCAGCCTTGTGTCCAGATGATCCAGAGGTGGACTTGTGCGAGGTAGCAGAGCAGGAACAAGTCACAGCATCCGAAACGAGCTTGGATGGCTTTGCTTTTGCCCTTGGCTTCGACTCCTGTCTGCTCCGCTGGACGTGGGGCGAGCGGGGCCCGGAGTCAATCCTCAAGCTGCCTCTCCAGAGGCTATTGGGTGCGTCCGCGTCTGCGCGGCGACCCTGAAGAATCTTTCGGCTCAAAGGGCCTGATGAGGCTCTGGTCAGTCTCTTCTTTGTGGAGGAAGACAAGAAGGAGAGCACGTGGGGTCTTCTCACGACGTCCCCTGCAGAACACAGCTATCAGTTTTACATTCGCGATGCGAAGCTGCGCTTAAAGGTCAGCACAACGACAGCCAAGAGATCGGCTGGAAGCCGGAGGAGTTCGACAACGTGCTTCGGTTCCATCATCGAGCACTCGGCTGGGGCGGCGACAAGCACCAAACGGACGAGCTGTTGTACGTAAAGGTGCGGGACGGAGGAATCGACTACAAAGCCGTAAGGGAGCCGCCCGCCGTTGTGCCGAATTGGCTTCCAGAGCTCCTCGGACAGATGGATCGGCTGACATTCTGGGAACTCGTTCGTACGAAAGCACCGGTCGAGCCGGCTCCCGGCCCCTTGAAGTTGCAGAAAATCTTCGATGAACCACAGACTGCGTTGCAGAGGGAGGACTTCGCCCGTGACGTGCAGTACATGGAAGTGGTCGGGAGGAGCACACTGCTGCTGGCGGCAGTGGTGGCAGAATCCGCACGCGACCCAAGCCAGACGCGGGAGAGCTTGAGCAGCCAAGTGGAGAAATACTTGGATGAAGCACGTGCGGCAGACTTGCTCATCAAGACCGGCCTGATCGATCTGGGCACAAGGAAGGGGATCGACTCCACCAGCGGCGTTTGCAAGATGTTCTATGCGTTTCTGGGAGCCCACAGGTTGGAGGGTGACATCTTCTCGGTCCCGCGGCCGTGGGACTGGTTCGTATGTTCCTTCAGCTTGCGAACTTCGGAGCTGGGCAGCGCTGACCAGAGGGACTGGAGGAGACCGCCCTTGTCCGCCTCATCACGGAGGTGTCGATAGCGTTTTCTGTTGTGGATCACCGCGTTTGGGTCTGCTGCAACCACGTCAGCTACGCTGCTCCGTCCTCCTCGAGCTTCACAATCCATGCACAAAGACTCAAGCAAGCTCGAGAACCACATTGGCTCCTTCGTCACGGAATATCAGAAGCTGTTGAAGTGTGAGGATGTGAGGAGTCGCAGAGTCGCGTGGTAGCAGCTATTCAAAAAAAGGAGTGCCGAAGGCCTTGGGTGACGTTTTCTTGGCTGTGCTCGGGGCCATTACAATGGATTCGGATTACTTTGAGGCCGAACAGTTGATGCTTGAGCACTATCAAGACAGTGAGGAGCTCTTCCAACTGATGAAGAACCGAGGCCTTCCTGCCGGTATTCCGGTTCACGATATCATGAGCACCAATGGTCTGCGGCAGCTTGGAAAATTTTCCACGGGTCCAGTGCGAGATGTTCCTCGAGGCGGAAACTCCACAGCGGCGTTCATTGTCACAGGAGCTGGTACAAAGTCTTGACATGGATGCTTGCTTTCACGTGAACGATGCGTGCATGGCCAATGTCAGTGCGGGACATACCTTTCGTGAGGTGATCGGCTCCACCCCCCGAAGCTTGCTGATCCACCTTGGCTTAGGCAGTGATGAAGGCAACTTCGAAGGAAGCGAGGCGGATCAAAAGTCGGAAAGCCTCGAAGAGGACCCCGAAGAGTCCGGCGAGGATGAACAGAAGCCTCTGGAGCAGGATGGGGCCTCTACTGCAAGCGTTGCCAAATGTGGCTCAAAGGCCCTGCACAGTGGGCCGATCACGGGATCGGCAAGAGACATCGCAAAGCTGCGAGACGACTCAGAGAAGCTTCTTGTGGCAAAATTCCCCCGGAGAAGATCCCCGCGATGCCAGAGGGCACCGGAAAGAGGTCGTGCGAAAAGGGCATCGGCGAAGGCCTGCCGGACGACGTGCAATTTGACCGCGAGAGCATTTCGCAGGTGGAGGGATCTGGCGCGTCCGAGCAGCCGGATTTCGACCCAGACCTTCTACAAGACCGAGCACTGCTGCGGGCAGCCCACTCTTGAGGTCTTTGCTCCGGTGCCCGGAACCGCTGCCTGCCCGTACTCCTTCGCCAAGCCAGCTTGCCCCACTGCCGAACCTCAGACGCCTCGCTGCTGGCCAACTGACACCAAAGGCAGCCAATTGCAATCATGCAGGAGCACCGACGCAGGGAAAAAACCGCGTGCAACACATCAACATGCGAGCATGCCTGCCAACCCTTGTGAAGACAGCCAGGGCATTCGAGTGTCGAAGGAAGAGTGGGATGCGGTTTGCCGCTGCCTCAGAGAAAACTCTATTATCAACTTCAGGTTGCTATTTTGCATGTCCAGTTGTTGTGGAAGTTGATGATTGGTGCCGCGAAAGCACGCTTCGACTCACCTGGAAGTCTTCGGGAGATAAGTAAGCTGATCAACGATCGTGCCATGGGGACATGTTTGCTACTGTTGGGACGGTGCTGCTGCAATGAGTCAGCAGAAGAGTGCGATGGTGGCACCAGTGCCGTGCACAGAAGTCTCCCTACCAATGAAAGATCGCTGGCAAGATGCAACGCAGCAGTTCGGTGCTTTCGAAGCCCGCTGAGCAATTCATTCTGCCAGCTTGAGTCATACACATGGTGTCTACATGAGGTCAACCAGGTTCATACTAGCAGCAACATTGAAGATAATGTTTGAAGCATGGCTGAGGTATGCGGGTGAGTCTATTGCATTTGTTAAACAACGGCAACTGAGGCAAGGCAGTTCCCGACATTGATGCAGCCTTGCAGAAGGCGGATGTATGAAGATATGAAGCCGACAGTGGCATTCACCAGGTTCTGCAGTAGACTTTGAACAAGTTTCACCCATGCCTCACCCAAACCTGACCGTGCTTTTGGCACAGGCAGGCTTCTTGGTAGCTCTCACCATGTGACGAAGTTGTCTTTTAGAGTTGTATTTTTCGTTTGTGGCAAGAACCCCGTACCCTTATGAGTATGCGTTTGTTGTGAGGCATGGGTTTAATGATGTACTAACGGTCGCCGACGACTGCTATCTCCGTCTGCCTGGTTTCAATCATCGCTTCTCTCTTCGGGGTCGTCTGGTGAGTCTCGAGCTCTGGCAAAGGAGGCTTGGTTCCGTAGTAAGTGAGTACCGTGTTGAACTAATTGAAGGTTTCTTTCGTTGAATGCGACGCAATGTCAACCAGCATGACTAAACTAAAATCCAACCTCGCTAGTGGGCATAGATCCTCAGCCATGCGGGAGGGAAAAAAACTAAACTTCTGTCCTGGGGCTCCGGCATGAAGAATACCGCGATGCGCAACATAGCATACCCTGCCACGAGGATGATGAGAAGTCATGGAATCTCATCGCAGACATTACGATCTCCATCACCGCTGGTGCTGTTGATCTTCGTCGATACTACGTGGATGCCTGGCTGCCTCCGGATGAGCTTCAATTTTGATAGGAGTGTAGCTCCGGACAAAGGAAGGTCCACCCGGCCTAAGGTTTGGACAACTCTTGCTGTCTGATAGCAGCTTCTCCAAGAGTTTGAGAATCGCAGGTTGCGCCATCGGCAGACGCCACAGACAGCAGCTTTAGCAAAAGGTTGACGGAAGACTGCTGAGACCTGCGGTATTGGACCCACTGCCAGAACTGCCCGCTGGATACAAGCATAGGGCAATGCTTGAAGCCGTGGTAGTGGCAGGGCTGGTAGCAGCAGCAACAGTGAAAGAAGGATAATTCGTAGTAATGGTATGGTAGCAGCAGCAGCAGCAGCAAGAGTTGCGGAGCGAGAGCTGGAAAACAGATGGTAATACAATTCTTTGCATCCGATGAAGCTGTGCTTAGGACCCGATTTCCATAGAACCCGCCACTGAGGACAAGAACGACGGGCAGTCCAAGCCAGGCCCATGAGGAATCAAAAAGTCCAGTTTAGGGTTTAGGGTTCAGGCTTGTAATTTTGGTTGGCGGTTTTGTTGTGGATATCGAGAGTTGTCTCCAATGCCCGAGGAGTTGTCATGAAGCAGGGTGTGTTGACATGAAGGAGAAGCGGTGTGCTTTTGTAGATTTGTGCTGCTGTCGCTTGACACCTTATTTCAGGCAAAAAAGGCATTCGGCTGGGAGCAGTGCAGTGGCCCTCCCTCAAGGTGCATCGGCTTTTCCCTGCTGACATTGGTGTAGGTGTGGAGTTTCTGTGGAACGACGACGAGTGATATTAGTTGCTGTGCTGCGGTCGCAGATTGGGCCCAGGTGGGCAAAGATGGCAGCCTAGGACAACAGTTCCCGGTGTGCGTGTGTTGATATTCGAGGACTAATTGCCGTCTCGGAAGATCCTGGTTCCATGCTCATGTGTCATGCACGGACAAGAGCACGAATCCTTTTTGGTAGAGGTGAACCCAAGGCCCTACCTAATGGTAGATGTCAAAACACTCCGTTTTGGATGGCCCGTGAATGGTTTCGGGCCCAAGCCACTTACACACGTCGACATCGGCTGATGCCATGTGTTCCACTAATGTCAGACATGGAACTGTGGCGGGATGGCACGAGATCCAACCTTCAGGCAGAGATGCCAGAGATCACCAAAGAATTGGATCAAGGAGGAGGCGACCTCGCAATTGCTGAGTTCTACAACTCACTATTTTCAACAGTCATTGGCCAAGCTAGGCACTCGGGGCCGGCAGCAAAGCTAGCATGTTCGAACAATTGTCGGCACGGACTGCTGCTTGAGGGACGACTCCCTGTTTCATGAGGGCCCTGAGGCCCTGAAGGGCTGAGCCTCGTGCGCTGCCTGGCGCTGTTAAACCTCTGGATGCAACGGCAGAGAGACGTAGAGAAATGGCGTGAGGCCCACCAGCGAAGAAGGCCAAAAGCAAGAAGCCAGAGGTGCCAGAGATTCCCGAAGAGGCCGAGCAACTCGGCATGAGTCTAATCATCTCATGATAGCACTACTTTTGGGTCTTGATTTCACTCCCGGGCGAGGCGGAACTTGGGTTTCCATGAGTTGCACTATTTGCGATGCATCGGCGAGGCGACCAAAGAGCGGAGTAACAGCAGTGGGTAGCGCTTGATGTGTCCAACTGTCCAACTGTAAGTACCTTCTGGCTGACAGGCGCGAACATGCTAGACTGGCTTAGCCCACTGGGTCCTCGGCGATGCGAGCCATTACCAACTCAGACCAAACACGATGAACGTTCTTTCTGACTCAATCGCAGCTTAGGACGCCTGAGGCCAGCGCCACGTCGAAAGTCAAGTCACTCTGCCATCACATAGCTGGAGCGAGTGGTTCCAAGCCATGTTGGAAAATTGGGGCAAGGCTTCAAGTTTTAGCTTTCTTCTTTAGAGCGTTCCTCATTTCGCGTGGATGATAACCGCACAAGCATTGGCTGAGGGATCAATCACAAGCTGAGGTGGAAACACGAGCTCCGCAAAATCCTGAAAGGCGAGATTCTGGAAGATATCGGTTGCTCTAGCCTGCATGATTGTCCCCGTTTTGCTGAAGGCCGTGACCTGAAGGAGATAAGCCTGCGGAAAGTTCGCGGCGAGTTGGAGGCATGATTGTCCCTGGCCGGTTCAATACAGACTCCTGGCCAGGCGCCAGCTTTTTGAGTCGATCTGAGTTTTTCTCCATGCATTTGGCTCACTGGAGCGGACAATGAGATTCTTTTTCAGGGGCATGTGTCGAATTGAACTGGCGCCGAGCCACATTCAGAATACTTTCGAGACCACCGGGCCAGGCCCCAGATGCCGAAAGCCGAAGCAGTAGCTCAGTAGCTTGCGAGTCGGGCAAGGTTTGGAACGGCTGAAATATGCTATATTGCCCAAGCCGAATTGAATTTCAGCTTCTGCGTCTCGCAAACAGCTTGTCCTTTTTTCATTCGGATGTTGGTGTTGAATGTGTTGATTGTGATCATGCTCTTCCTAGCGCAGGGTACCGCGCTCCGAGAGACATCAAACTTGTAAGTGCTGTCAGCATACGCTAGATTTCGTCCAGAGTCCTGCGCTGGCTGGTGACTGCAGGCAGTGCTGTCACTCCCTGCAGATGGTCTGCTAGAACGCAAGGACGAGGCGGCTTGGCACATATTGCCGTAACACTCTACCGTCTCATTGGGCAGGCTGAGACTAGGCAGCTTGTTTTCACCTTGTGCCGCGAAAGAGGTGAAAGAGATTGTCACAGAAATAATACAGAGCCAGGGCCTCAGCCGGCAGGCTCATGAGCTGGCAGACTTCATTTCATGTGTCCCAGGCGGGGAAGCCGGCCCGTGATGCTGGGCATGTGCCGCATGTACAGGCGAGGCGGCTGCACCGCTTTTCAAAACTCTCCACATGTAGGTAGCTTAGAAAAGTTCGCATGCTGCTCTGTCACGGCTGTGGGAAAGCCGCAGAACATGCGCTGGTGTGACCAGAGGGCTTGTGATCTCAGGGAGCCGCTCAGCTCCAGAAGGCTTTTGAAAAGAGAATCGCGAGTGGAGCCTTCCAGGTCTCATCTTACACTTCAGTTAAATATATACTAGAGCATGTTAGTTGTACATTATTCTATGTTATACTAGAGTATATTATAGTATGTTTTGTTAAACTCCCGTAAACACTCCCGGCACATCCAGTGCGATCACGTTGTTCCATCGTTAGCGCTGTCAATACCGGTGTGATTCCAGGGCCATCATTGCTGCTTAGTTCTCTGATTGCTACTGCTATGTTGTGGTGTTTTGTGATCGTGCATGACTCTCCAGGTACTTTTGCTTGTGCTTACCGCCCCTTCCCACATAGCAATGCTACCATTCCTAAAATAGGGATCTACAGTAAATAGTATGGTTTCCTTGTTAATTGTTATGGTAACTTAAACTAGATAGTGTTTATAGGTGTTTTTTTTGTTTGCATCGGCGGAGCTCCTCAGCCTTGGCTCGGCCAAACGGGCGCGGAGGGGACTTGCGGCCCACGTCAATGCCTCCTGGCGGGGATACCAGTAGCCCTCCACGTGAAGGACGGCGAGACTTCGTTGTGTTTGGCGAAGGTGTTAAGATAGAGACGGATGCTCAGCCGGTGGGAATCTGCTTTTCCGTTTGCACCTGTTCGGTCCCTTGATGCTCCGCTGCCCAGTCGAGCTGCCACAAAACCTGAGGCAAGCGCCCACAGCATTTTACCATTCTTACTGGCGCTCGGCTCAGCCAGATATTCGGGTCATGGCAAGCACTGATTGTCCTGGAATTGCTAGTCCACATGCCACTCCCACGGTTGCAAAACGCAGCGCGATTCTGCTTCAAGTCGATGCACGGAGCTGCGGCACCTGCCGTCTCGGATTGAGGCCGTCGGCACCAAGCTGACGAAGAGTTTCATGATCGCAGCCTGGCCAGGATGACAGATGACAGACGGTAGGCTTCGACAAGCAAGTGCTGAAAGTTTCAGAAACTGAAATGTGCGCCAGAGCAGCCTACCTGCGGCTCAGCCTAGGCTTCGATTGCGTCTTTGCTATCTCTGGTGCCGGGGCCCCAGGACATCTGAGTGGCAGGAGCGGGTGGTTTACATAGGGGTGTAGGGTGCACTATGGTTTCTTGGTGGGTGCACCTGCAGCTTGCATTGCAACAGAAACTACCAACAACATGTCCTGCATGCTTTCGATGGTATCGTGGCAGGGTTTAGCAGTGGCAGCAAGGGATTATGAGGGTGCTTCGAAGTAAGGGTGTGGCACGAAGCTCTCCGACCATCAGCACCAGGTCAACATAAGAGGGTTCGGCTGTAGTGCTGCACCCAGACATGTCCTGAGCAGCAAACTGAGGTTTTATTTTCCTCTGACCTTGGCTGTTGAGGTCCGTCTGCGGTTTGGTGGGTGTCAGGGGATTTGTGATACTATCCTCCGCGTCCAGCATGGATCCGCAAACAGGGTTCCCGATGCCTTGTGGAAAGCTTGAAACATTCCGGGATCAGGATTGACTTTTGCAATTTGCCGTCAATAGGGATTCCCGGTCAATGCAGCTGATTCATAATGCCGCCCCACAGTCAAGCGGCAAGCTATGCCAGCTATGCCTACCTGCGAATGGAGTTGAGGCTCCAAACGCCGCGAGGCATGTACAGAACTGAACAGAGTGATCTGACCACGAGCACAGCACGAGCACAGCACCGACTCTAGGGTGAATCGTTTGAATGCCTTGTTACTGGAATTTCCGAGCCAACTGGGGCCCTTCCAATTCGGCTCAACTCTTTCCGGTAATTTCCTCGCATCGGATCTCTCGGCTCTGGAACTTCGTGGCAGGATGCAAGCCAGCACTGCCCTGGGCATGTGGTCCAAGCCTGAGTCGCGAACTACCTAGCTCCTTGTAGCTCTTTGCCTTCAGTTCTGCGCATAAAAGTTTTTCCGTTGCATAACAAGGGGCCGGGCAAGGACGTGAGGCATGCAAGGACCGTTGTTCGCCTCGGCTTGCTGAGCAGGACGGCTTAAAGACTGATGGGCGCGGGAGCCTCATTCAGGCGGGAAATCGGATCTGATTCCGTGCAGGGCAAGGGCCGAACCATACTTCCAAAAGGCCTTCCAAAGCGAGACTCCGCAGGTGGCCCAGCAGACACGCCACCCTGGATCCGGTCACCCGGTGCCACTGGATCCGGGTGCCGAGGTCGGGGTATCCTGCATTTGGAATTGTCAAGATCTCGAGGGCTCCTGAGTTCAGTGCCAGGCCCTAGAGCACCCGTGGTTCTGTCCATGGCTTTTTGGTCGCCTACTCCAGGAGAATGAGCAGAACTCGAGTTTGTCCAAGCAGGACCTGTGGCGGTGCACATCGGCTCATTGACACAGCTACCCCGGCACAAGCAGCCCGAAGTATGACGGAGAAGCTCTCAAACTCCGGGAACCCAGCCACCCCCGATGCCATGCAGGAACAGATATCGTATTTCTCCCTTCGTGCTGCTGCTGCCGGCATTGTTTTGGACGGTGGAGAGTTTCAACCGATGCCAATCTTCGAAGAGCCCGGTGCTGGAGGCACAGCTGGGAACGGAGAGCTGCCATACAAGGGCACAGATGCTGGCAGCAATGCGCAAGTGATGAGAGCAGCACTACGCAGTCTGTAAGCCAAGGAGGGTAGGAGTCGGTAGGAGCAATCATGATACCCCAGTTGGTTAGTGATCGCGAGGGTCGATGATGATGATGATGGTGGTGATGATGATGATGACGAAAGACGAAGACGATGAAAGCGATGGTGATGCTGGTGATGAGGAGGATCACAACGGCCACAATCCAACAAGCCAGTGGACACCAAGCGATGAGACTGCAGCAGGCGGTGCTTTGATCGTGTTTGGCGTGATTTTCCTGACCCTCGTGGGTGCCGGGCCTAGCGAGAAAGGCTTATAACTTATAAATCGTGCCTTCAAAGGGGTTTTGGGTCGTTGTCACCAATGGGGTGATGCACGGAGGCATCATCGAAGCAGAAGTACAGTCAGCGCCAAATGGTGGTTGGGGTGCTCAAGCACACGAATCGTAACATACGACATCTGTATAATCACTGCGTTTACATGGGGAATGGTTATCCGAAGTGATGCATTGATGCATCATTGAGGCATGCACCTGACATCTGCATAGTGCATGTGAAGTTTAGATGCTGGAATGACCATCTGGGGTGCGGCATTGAGGCATGGTTGAGGCATCTCAAGGCCCAGCGTACCCCAGCGTTCAAAGGGGTTTTGGATGTTTAAAGGATACAAATCGCTACATTTGACAACCCCGTGGCCAATGCGTTTAGATGGGGAAAGCAATCCCGCGGTCAACTTCGATGTTTGGGGTGTTAAGACACACACACACATACACAAACACAAAGAGACGCAGGCACGCACTCGCACGCACAGACAGACAGACAGACAGACAGACACACAGCTGACCAGCGCACGCTTGCGTGTGAAGGGGTGGAGCGACTGATCCTCTTATCTGTGTGGAAGAAGACTAAGACAGAAATTTAAAAGAAAAACAACATATACATACAAACATACGTACATACATACATACACAGGTACATGTACATGCACATATGTATATACGTATACATACACGATCATATACGTATGATTATATACACACACAATATTCCGGCTGCTGATTCGCGCCCTAGGGCAAGTTAAGCCACAAAGACTGATTCGTACTCCGTCCCATTGCAATCATTGCATGACGTGCCATGACCTCAAACGGCGGAGGGGTTAAGCGCTGGAAGCTTCTTCGGTGTGGAGTCAAGGCTCTTTGCTCGTCGTCGCCTGCTTCGAAGCACCTCTGGAGCTCGAGGAGCACGGGGCTGATTTCCACAAGTTCTTTGACATGTTTCCAGTGGAAGCTGCCGTCTGCCGACTTAACTCTTTGCGTCCCCGCTGCTCGGATCTAGGGCCTCTAGGGCCTAGGGATGTCCAAGCGTCAACGCATGACGAGCACCTGGTCGCTGACGGACCCGCCAGGACAAAGTCACCGAGCCAGAATCCTGCACAAGGTTCCCGGTTTCCGCAGACTTCCGTGTCCTGTGTGGCAAGGCCGGAACTCGCCGGGGCGTCCAGCAGGGCACTTAGCATAGAGAGGAGCCGAGAAGGGGCCACAGAGCCATCATGTGCATGCAGGTGTTCGGGCACGGCTTCGGCCCGGGCCCGCAAAGGCAAGATGCAAACCTGTGAAGCACAAGAAATCTTTCACAGAATCTTGACTTGAAGCTGATTGGACAGGGACCATGCAATGCCCTTCAGCGGAGCCAACGACAATGTCAGGAGACTTCCCTGCTCGTGCCGCGGTTAACATGCGAGAATAGCTTCAGCAGGTTCCCGCACAAGATCGTCCTGCAGAGCAAAGAGCGATCTTGGCTCCTGTTCCGGAGGCAGACACGACCTTGTCTTGCCTAAGTGTCCTTGCCTTCCAATGTCGGTCACAACCAAACGCCTAGATCTCGGGGCAGGTAGAGCCTGTGACTGCCGAAGCTTAGTCCCAGGTAGGTAGGCTTGTCTTACGCGCATTGCACGGCGGCACTGGGCCCTGTTCAGGAACTTGGAAGCAACCTTAGCCAAGACAACCGGCATGTGGTCGAAGAGACTCAGGAAGCCTGCTGGGCCTGCTATGCAGACATGCAGCTCAGTTTTACCATGTTTTACATTGTAAGTAAGAGTCCGTAAGAGCGCTTGCTGTTCACGGTCTCGTTCTGGAGGACCACTTGCCTTCACAGAGACAGGCGGAACAGCCGTGTGCGGCAACTTCTCAGGCTCGAGACGTCTATTTCGGGGCTGTGATTTAGGAATTCTTGCGCGTCGATGTCATGCTTTGAGAGTTGTCATGGTTTGGGGTCTGTACCCGGGCTGTACCCAGTAGCACTCTCTACGTCGTCTACGTTACAAGCTGCGCACGTAGATCTACCATCAAGTCATCACTTCCCAGGTCACGAATTGCACTCTTGCCAATGTGACTGCGGCATTAGCCTGTGAAACATGTTGCCTTTCTCACTCGGAGGTGCTAACAACACCAGCTGAAGGCCCGGAAGGTCCCGCCATTACTCCCCCACAGGCCGAGGCAGGGTGAACCTGAGTATGCATCACAAGCGACATGGTCCATGTTGCATGTTGACGGTCGACGGTGCTTTTCCTAAAGGTCAGACACATACCATCGGAGCGCTTGGAGGGCCCAGTCATCCCTCCGCAAGAGGCCTCGGCAGCAGAAAACGGCTCTTCTGTTTTGCACAAAGAGCATCCAGCATTAGGTCTCTATTGCTGGATTGCGGGTTGTGTGAGCCTTCGATTCACTGCTACATCCATCCAACACCGTCTGCAACAGGAAGCATCAGAAGAAGCAGCGTGGGATCCGCCGGACATGGAGGCCGCTAGTACCGCCAGGACAAGTCCTCAATACCTTCAAACAACAATTAAGATCCTACCTTTTGGGTATGACCTATAGTGAGCTGGAAACAACTCGGGCTCTGCATCCGTTAGATGTCGGAAGCCCTTGGCGGCGAACTCTTAATTACAATTTGTCTAGGGCCGCATAAACGTGTCACCAAATTTGTCGTTGATCAGTTTTGTAGGCCACATAACGATCTCACGCTTTTCGCCGTGCATAAATTGGCCCGAGAACACTCCCTTTATGTGCGCGAGTTTGCTCCCAGACAACAACTTCCGAGTGCTTGCGAAGACAAACAGCAACAATCCTCGCGAGCGCCTAAGAGCCCGGAGGAAGTCCGGTTGCTTCCCAACTCTTCTGGGGTCAACAAGACTGAGGAGCCTTTTTTTGCACTTGCGTGACCTGCTGCTGGCAGGCTGGAGGGACTCTACATTTGCCTCCCATGCGTACAGCTTTCCCTCCATGGTATGGCGGTGGCACGCCGCAGTGATGGGCCAAGTGTTTCAGAAAGCTGCCCGAGACAGGCTCTCTGAGTGACTCACGAATGTCCTGAGGAGCGCATCCTTTGATGAAGGAGCAACCACCCTCTTCGAAGAGGCGCAGAAGCAATCGCAAGTGCGACAGCCCAGGGCCAGGCATATGCTCGTACAAAGCACATCAGTAACACTGCGCACTGGGTCTCGTTTGTGGTGCCCAACTCAAAAAAAAAATTACCTATGTCTAGGATCAACCGTCCCGCAGAGTAGAGCTGGGTGAGCATTGCACGTCCACACCCGACATCCCGAAACCGGGACATATCGGGGACACCGCAGTCAGTTGCTTCGAGAAACAGGCTGACTCGCAGGATGCCACGCAAATGGAATCCAGAGTCACTCAACGTCTTGCATGCAGCTCACAGGGAGACCAGGAATACCCACAATGTCTATACGAAGCCAGGAAGTCAGCGACAGACTGCAGTGCACTTACCGGGACGTCTTGTCACCGTGCTGCACAGCCAGAACCACGCGGTTCATTGCCGCTCAGGATTCAGCACAGCTTGTCATTGCCTTACCTTGCAGATGCTGGAGATGCACAGGCCACTTCCGCTCGCTTGATCTATCTTGTACTTCTTCCCCACACAGTGAATGTGGCAACACTACAGGGCTCTTCCCTTCGGTGTAAGGTTTGCTTATTTTGGCTGTGACTCATTTTTCCGCCTCGAAACTTTTGCTCCGGCCAAAGTCCTGAGATTATTTTGAGGTGGCCCGTTTGATGCAATGCTGCTGACATGCTGCGCGGTGCGCATTTTATCAAATTTTAACCCAAAGCCTTTCTGGGAACCGCCTGAGTAGCCAGGGGTCCCGGCTTGGTCTGCTAGGTGTTCTTTCCTTGTTTGGGGTCTGTCACCGTCCTGTTTCACTGAGACCAGTCATCCGTGGCAGGCAGAGGCTGGTCCATGGTGTCGCAGCCCCGGCGGGTCAACATTGGAGGTTTTCTGAATCTCGGAGACTGCATCACCCTAGACACTCACGCACACACGCGCACTCTAAGTCTGGCCGACGTCGGATTCGCCACCGCCACCGATGACCCTGTGCCCAGGGTAAGTGTCTCAGTCTGTCAACCACTGAAATGCCGATCCCGTGAAAACGGAGATCCAACTGTGCATTGTGTGCGGACGATCATGATGATTGCACAGTGGCAGCGTTGCAGTAACTAGTTCTCATGACCACACTGTTGGTAACAAATCTTCAAGCCTCACGGCTCGCCTTCGAGCAGTTGCAGTATGTTGCCGTCAATACGCTGGCCACTTAGGCTAATCGTCCCTCGGAATTCGGAGTGCTGCTTGGTCATACCGATCCCGACCAAGGTGGACAAGGGGCTATGAAGCGTCCGGGCTTGTCATGCAGTATGGCTGGCATCAGAAACAACTACGACTAGGGTAAATGGAAGTCGCGCAGAGCTATGCGGATGGACCACTACCACTCCCCACTGCCACTACCACTAGCACTGCAACGACGACGACTACCACTGCTACTGCTGCTGCTGCTGCTGCGACGACGACGACTACTGCTGCTGCTGCTCCTTCCTGCTTTTACACCTACTCCTCCGACTACGCCTACTCCTGACTCCTCCTCCTACCCCTACCTTTACTCGTTCTGCAGCTGCTGCTGCTGCTGCTGCTGCTCCTCCTCCTGCTACTGCTGCTACTACTACTACTACTACTACTACTGCGACGACGACGACGACGACGAGTTTCATTAGCACTTCCACGACCGCTACCCTAATTTAGAAAACTACCCATGTGCCCAAACCCT